GTATGCTGATGATATTGCCCTGATCTGTGACAGCTCACAAACGTGTCAAGCGGCACTGGACAGATTAGCACTAGCTGTCCGTCACTGCGGGCTTTGCTTCACACCCTCGAAGTGCAAAGCGTTTCTCCAAGATTGGTCTGGACCGCCTCCTACGCTGACCTTTGGTGGGGATCAGCTAGAAGTCGTTCAAAAATTCGACTACCTGGGAAGTTGTATCAGCGCCCGTGGGATTGAAGATGAAATCACGAATCGTATAGCAAAAGCTCGGGGCGCTTTTGCTAACCTTCGCCACTTATGGCGCGGGCGCGACATCACTCTCACCCTGAAGGGTAGAGTGTACAATGCAGCAGTACGTTTGACCCTACTGTACGGTTGTGGAACCTGGCCGCTTAAAGCAGCGGACCTGAAGAGGCTAGTTACGTTCGACCACCGGTGCCTTCGTAATTTAGCTCATATATGGTGGGAACACCGCGCGAGCAACGAGCGTGTTCGACGCCTTGTTTATGGCACAGAAAAAGGAAATGAACCGCTCAGCACCGTTATTTCACGCATCAGGCTCCGATGGCTCGGCCACGTGTTACGCATGCCAGCCCATCGACTCCCGCGACGTGTATTGTTTGCGCGCCGGGGGTGTGGATGGAAGAAGAGGAGGGGTGGCCAAGCGATGACTTGGTCGAGAGGAATGAAGGCCCTCACTTCTGAGCTGGCCTCGGTTGGAGCGTCTCGGCTCCCTGGTTGGGGTCCAAAGGACGATGAACACGTTTGGTTGGACACATTTGCTGACATGGCAAGAAGCCGACCTCAGTGGCGTTCATGCTGTGAGTTTCTTTGTCCCACCCCATCCCTCTTAGCCTCCCCCTCCAACCACGATCTCAGTATTTAAACTTATATAATGTTGCATAATATTTTCTTTTTCTTTTTGGGTGCACAGCAGCCGGCTGGTAGCTTACCGGAACGATGCCCATCCGTTACCGGTTGCTCAGCCAGCTTGCACCAGTTGCTTTTTTTCTCCTTTTTTCTATGTATTGCGACACAGTAGCTGAGATGTTCCCCACCTCTAGCTAACGAGTATGATGAGGATGATGAGGACTGTTCTGCTCTATGGTAGTGAGACTTGGCCCCTTCGGTCTGAAGATCTGAAGCGCCTTCAAGTCTTTGATCATCGTTGTCTGCGAAGCATTGCTGGTGTCAGATGGCACCATTATGGCACCGTTATATAAAGCAGTGGTTAGGCGACATCTGGAGTGCTTTGTTCGGGTCTGGGCACCATATTTCCGTTGTAACGCTGTGTGTTTGGAAAAGCCTCAGCAACTTGCGACCAGGATGATCAAAGATCGTCTAAGTAGCTTAGGATTATTTTCGTTGGAACGGCGCAGATTGCGAGGGGATCTGATACAGACATTTACTATCATTAGGGGACTCAGTAGTATCACTCCTACCCACCTGTTTGAGTTAGCTACGTCCGACCACCTTCTCCGGCATCGCCTGAAGCTCAAACAACATAGGCCTCGTTTGGACATCAGAGCGAAACATTTTACAAACCGAGTGATTAACATCTGGAATAAACTTTTTTCTGGTTTGGTGGAATGTGTGACGGTAGAAGCCTTCAAGAGGGGCTTGGGTAAGTGTTGTTTTGACTTTTTTTCCTGGAGATATTGTAATTGGACTGGAATGTAGTGTATTCCGATGCTGGCACATGAAAGTGCAAAGATTACTTTTGTTCTTGCTTCATTCTTTTGTGGGAGCAAGAAGGGCCAATTCAAAGTCGAATTCCTGGGGGCTGTTTTTCACTCACCGGCACAAGAAACAGGGCGCTCGTTAGACGGAAGTTTTTATCGTCCGTGGTACTTGGCCTGATCTAAAGGTAGTTGTGTCGACGTTCATCCGGATCTCCCCCTGGCAGATAGATCGAAGTTAAATGAGACTATCAAAGACCTCAAAAATAGGTGGGCAGCTAATGAGCAAGGTCTTCATCTAGGGGGTTTTCACGTGGTCAGCCGGCAGTTATTTTCCGCCCTATCAAAACCAATGCTAATGGCGCACGACCGGGGGATGTTCGTACCGACTTCTTTGAGGTAGTAATTAGCAACCTGCGTAGCCTAAGGAACAAGATACACAATTTGGGTCTGCTTGTAGACAAATCTCGTTACGACAAACTTGCTTTCACTGAAACGTGGTTGTCTCCGGATATTACGGAAAGTGAAGTATGTTTATCTGGCTACGCATTTATCATCATCATCATCATCATCATCATCATCATCATCATCATCATCATCATCATCATCATCATCATCATCATCATCAACAACAACAACAACTACACTACCTCAGCCATTTGAACTGATGCTTCGCTGCCATACAACAATGATGACCTATGGAATAAAGACCAAATAGAGGGAGAGAAGGGGGACTTAACTGAAAACCATAACGCCGTAAGCAAACATTTAGGGTCAAGGTGCTTACACCTTGTGTAGACAACCTACCGTCACAAACAGCTGGCTATCGTGCAAAGATAATGCGGCATCGGCGAGATAGCTTCCTTGCGGCTTTCACTGCCGCGCGTCATCATCAGCCATTATCCAGCAGATAACTCAGCACCAAACACACTTTAAACAGGCAATCCGACTAGGAAACGACAGCAAACGCGCCATTGGTGTCGAGTGGGAGCCATGTCTTGTAAAATCTCGAGCCAAGCACTAGGCGAGTTACGTGGACTTCAGCCTGGAAGACGAGACGGATCAACGGCACCCAGTTTGGTCGCCAGTGACTTAATTTCCCAGTGCCAAGTCAACACTTCTGTCCACCTCAAGTCTTATGCCACCTTACACCTGGTCGACTGAAAAAGACCCTCCTAAGTAAGCGGTGACCAGGCATACGTAGCACGTGCCCAAGCCAACACAACTTATTCAGTGCTATCTGTTGTTCTAGTGAGTTAGCCTGATTAACACTACCTAGTACTCGCCTACGTACATCATCGTTGCGGACACGCTGGTGCCACCTGACACCAGCAGCTTGAGACAACGATGATCAAAGACTTGAAGGTGCTTCAGACCGAAGGGGCCAGGTTTCACTATCATAGAGCAGGACGGCCATCACTGTGGCCTTGTATACACGGCCTTGGAGACGGAGGGAAACTCCATTCTGTCGCCAAAAATGCCGCACGTTCAAGAAGGCAGTTCTGACTTTTGAAATGCGTGAATTGACTTCAGTTTCTATGCGCTCATCGTTGCTGATGCAGCTGTCAAGGTAAGTGGATTGATCAGCCACCTCGAGTTCCTCGTTAGTAAGGGTCAAGAAGCCTTCTAGTGGCCCTGCAACAACACTTTGCACTTTGAAGATGCGAAGCGCATGCCGAATAATGGGACCACTCTAGGCAGGCTATTCAGGATTAATTGTGCCGCTGCAACATCGTCGAACAGTAAGACGATATCGCCCGCGTAATCAAGATCAACTAAAGTTTTACCAGACCGTACCTCAACGCCTACATCGTAAGATTCCGCAACGGAACACTGGAGGATAGAATCCACAACGAAATTGAACAATTGGGTTTGTTTTCTACCAGTTACGGCTACTTGCCTGCTATCGATGCTGCACTGAGGATGCCACCTCGAATTGTGGCGAAACGTTCGCAATCAAGCTGCCCAGTTCAGAGAACTCCACAACAACTGTTCTTCTTGCTGTTTTCCTTCCCTTACTCTTATTTCACGTCACCGGACTTTTTATGCAGGTCAAACAGACATTGATTGATTGACCGCGATGTGAATCCATTGTTTTGATCTCTCTTTCCCCGGTTTCAGCTTGATCTCGCAAGCTTTGTCCTGAATGAACGACGCATTTTGACTTGACCAGCTGAAATTTTATTTCTTGTAGTGCCGTTCATATCACTGATGGATGTGCAGTCTTATCTGTCCTGGATGCGACCACCAACCCTCTTGAACCACGTATGTAACTTGGTCAATTCTTTCAGCAAATCTATCATTTTTAGGCTCTGCTTTGCCTCCGGTGCACAACGTTCCTCTTGTGTGATGGAATGGTGAATACCTCCGAATGACACAAATCAACACTGATGTGTACCTTTCGACGTGTGCCTGGAATTGTCTAGTGATGCACACACCCCATTGCACACTTCGTAATGGCGGCCGAAGGTAATCAGCTAAGCTCGTCATTTTCGTTCCAAATGGATTGGGAAGGCGATGGTGCTTTTCTGCCAGGAGGGTGAAAAACCTGCTTCATGCGAAAAATGTTGCACATCCTTTGTTGTTATACGTGTTAGATGGCATTCTGTGCTACAGTTGGTTAAAAATGTTGCCGAATGTGTCCTCAACATCACATGATGGTCTCACTCGCCAACAGCCTTGTTGAGGAACTGACTTTTGATGTGGTGTGAAAGACAAATATTGCCTACTCATTATGCCCTTTATTGTGCAGTTATCAGTAAGCCGTGTGTATATGTAACAATTTCACTCAGGTTCCATTTCGCTCTACAGTTATGCTGGATGCATGGAGTCCAGCAATGAATCCGACGAGTGAAAGTGTGATGGCGGTACGCAAAGGAGAGAAACTACTGTATTATCCGTAAATATATAATATACTATGTTGCAAACGTGTATTTTCCGCGCAAATGAGTACCGTAAATCGCCAACCGTGTCGGCATTTAGCAGGGGATAGGTGGACGGTAGTGCGTTAACCCAGGGGAACTTTCGGAAAAAGTATAAGAACGAGTGGGGTTATGCTGCGAAATATTTTTTTGTATAGCCGGTAAGTTGCTGAAAATTGTCCCGCGCGGCGCATTTTCGGTCACCTATCGGGCGGACTTCGATCACTTATCGGTCACTCGTGCTAACTGGGAGCGTACGCATTGCGGTTGTGCTTGGAACCAGCTTCAGCATGGCATCCACCACTTACTGGTAGTTTGCGTACGTCTCATTCGATAAAAGGGCGTAGAAGTAGGACGTGTCCCAGTCACTCACGTACACAAACTTGCAATGCCACAGGATGTATCTACATTAATTAATCTAATGGGTTGGGTCCACCAATATGACATCACTATACCGCGCCACCAATTCCAGCATACGAGATGGGACGAAAACAGATAGCGGATCTCTGCACCTTCTTGCACAATTTTCACTATACCATGTTTCTCCAACAATTTGGTCATTTACTCCGCCTTACTTGTGTCCACATTTCGATGACGCCGACGTATTGCATATAAATCTTGCCGCGTCAGCCGGATGCCATATTGTATGCGCACAACTGCACCCACTTCCTGCGTTCGCCTGAGCGTCCGCATCGTATCCAAAACCAAGGATTCCTGTTCGGTCGTCTACTTTCTATTTCGGCGATAAAATCACCCCTTCCCAACATGAAAGCCTTGCGAATGGCGCAGATCGGCGTATCCAATCTCATAGCACATCCCCTTCAATTTCACTGTGAAGTGAGCTGGACAGTTATAGTGACGGTAACTACAATGACGTAGTCATACGTTTACAGCATACTTCCCGCGTTCCACTAGCATTGGCTCGTTTACAATGAACACGCTTAAATGGTACGTACTGGTATGCACATCCTTCGAGAAGCGACTTCCCATTATGTCTTCGGTACCCTTCAGCTGTCACTACTTTTCCACGACAAAATGATGTAGTCCTCTGAAGCTCAGAACGTCTCACTTCCACTAGCACCACCGTAAAATCAAGGTGCGGGCCCTTCACTAAACGGCTAGATTACGCTTTGTCGTTCTACACAGCAGCAGTCATAACAAGCAGGAAAATGAATAGCAACGGTGATTAATATAAACCACTATTTTGAGGGAATTTTACGGGCAGGGACTGTATCTTTAAACTGCCTACATATTCAATGGAGCTTTGTATGCACTTTAGAGCACTCCGCCTTCCGACATCTAACAATGTTACTGGTGTCCCATAACTACGCAACCACCCCTTGTTCATTCGCCCTAGGCGTGTTCTGCGGTCCTTAATTTCATGACGGTCCGTGACGGAGCTGTACGCTATCGGGCGTGTCCCCAGGTTGCGGATTGGGGAATGCCTTCCTTGTGGAGGTAACTGAGAATAAGTCTCGTTCGCTTTGCAGGCAAGATGAATAAGCAGTCGCGGACAATTAGCAGCAGCGTCTCAGAGCGTGGGGAGTTCTGGGCTGGTCACCTGATTCTCTATCACATACCACAAGTGCTCCTACGGCGCTGTGTCAAAGCCAGTGTGATCGGGTATAGGGTCACTGGCCACTCACTTCTGTAACCACAAGTGAGTACCTAACGGAGGGTGGATGAACAACCTTGTTGGCCACCGGCTTCTCTGTGAACTGCTCCCGAACACAAAGAAGGCGAATGAGCCATTTGGCTCTCAACGGTTTCCGTAAATCACTCCGCTGCCTTGCGAGTCAGCTCTTTATGATCAAAGGCCTGGGATGGGGTCTCTTAAGTCAACCCACTTCCTCGTCCTAGGCAACCGGGAAAGTCTCTACCTACACAACGCAATAACCCTCTAAACCTTCCAAACCCTTCCACTGACTACCAGTTTTCCCCCTTTTTGTCGTTGTTAACTATGTGTTGTGGCACTGCCAATTGTATATTGGTCAAGTATTGTATAATAATATGATAATTTTATGACGGAGCACACTTCCGTCACAAAACAATGACAGAATTTGGCGGAACTCCTGTGACTTCATGTAATCGCAGGGTGCTAGTGCGGGGATCAGTTGTGGCCGATGCCCTTTTCCTGTGCTCATTTGTGGAACTGTTTTTACACACCGAACTAATTAAGCTGTAGTCTTAACTTTTCAGGCACTATGCATTATACGTTCTACCTGGTCTCGACTGATCTGCGTTCTGTGGATGGTTGAATTTGCATCTATCACGGCGAACAACACATATACGATGTAATGTTTCTCAAACATGAACTACACTGGAAATTTCTTCCTGACTACTCTTTCTCTCTTCCAGTTCCCCACTTCCTTTCCAGCTGCTCAATGGTTGATTTGTTAACGAATAGTAATGATCGCCTCAAAGTCATCCTTGACTTTTTGCAGTGGTCCACTGAAGCGCTAACTAAAGTAAGTGGCTCAAATTTGTTTGCACTGCTATGTTCCTCATGTGTTATCCACATTTCGTTTGCCTACTGCGAACAATGTCTTGGGGACGTTTGAATGCGCTTCCTGACAACACGACCCGCGTCTCAACAGAACTGTGCTCTTGTGATGATTTGGACCACACGAATATGAGTATTGGGGTCCATTTTGCCTTCATATGACCCGTTACAAGTCTTCCTTAGGAGTAGAGTTAAAGCATACAAAGGGGAGTATGTGCGAAATTGAGGTCTTCCATGTGACTATCTACTTTATAACTATGGAGCCGGATTTGTACTTACTTGAACTGATACTTGGCTGCCGTACAACCACGGTGGACTAGGGAACATACAAAAGGGGAAGAGAAGGGTGACCTACGATACAACCTGAATACCCTACACAAACACTGGGGGTCAAGGCGCCTACACGTTGTCAACAGCATCCCATCACAAACAGCTCGCTATCGTGCAAACATAAAGCGGCATCGACGAGATGGCTTCCTTGCAGCTTACCTGTCTCGCGTCATAATCAACTGCCCCGCGTCGAAAGGAACAAAACAATTAACCGAGTTATGGGATTCAGAAGTGAGCAAATGCTTGAGAAATCAGTTCACCACACTTTCAAACGCGCCTTCATTACTCCCCTTCTCATGTTAACTGCAAGTGATTGCCGTTCGCTGCCGCATGACTTGTATAGTCCGACTGGAGTTGATGCAATCTACAAATGTCTATTCGATCGATCACACCTAGTTGTCGTTATATTCAGTCAAATTTCGGCTCGTAGCCTTAGTGATCACAAGCCTTGCTTGTCATCCGAGGGCGCGGGTTCGAGCCTGCGTAGGGACCTGGGAACCCCCGTAGTGTCCTTAGCCCACGTGCAGCTAGTGATGGTTGCGCGGCAGCAAAGCGTGCGTACCGGCGTACTGGTCCTTCTCGTCTCAACAAGACTGGTTCTTAACGTTGTGCGACGGTTTGTGTACCTGTTCGACTCATTCAATTATACTATGTGATGCCTCTAGGCCCCTCGAAAGTTCACCCTACCATGTTGGTCAATAATTAGAGCTCATACAAACTCAGTCTCCTATTGCTCTACGTTGGAGGGTTGAAATGGGATGGCGTCCATTTCTGTAAAACCTTGTTATTTCTATCTCTCCGCTGCCTTGTCAACAGATTTTTGAGCTAAATGCTTTGGTTGAACACCCTAATAATTTTCCTATCTAGGCCTAGGCGTCTTGACGGTATCTTTCCCACGTACAGCTATGACTATTTCTTTAAACTTCAACCACCTGCATCGACTGTCGCGCAAGTTATCAAGGCTTGTCTTATCTGCTGCATACCGTAGTGCGGGTAAGCGAAAAGATGCTATTGCTGGCGCCTCTCTTCTTTCTTCCCCACTTGTTTCTCTTACTTCCCTCACAATCCCCATTACTAACCTTTCTGTAATTCTCAGCTTAATTGACAGCAACCGTATTGCAACTGGAGTTGCACCATCTGCAGCTACCTTCCCGCACCACCCACTAGACGCCTATCGGCAAAGTCCCTTATAAAGCCACACTATCCCGTTCCCCTGGCGGCGTTCAACGCTCGCACTCTAAGACAAATAGATCAACAGTCTGCACTGGCACGCACGTTGGGCACACTGGATATTGAAGTGAATTGCGTATCCGAAACCAGTATCAATGATCCTTACGGGGTTGTTAATTTAAGCGCACCCGGCTTGTCCTCTCGCTATTGGTTGCACGCATCCGGAGACGCTGATGCGGCAAGCACTGGTCAAGCTGGGTTAGGCATCGGGATCAGCTCCAAGGCTGAGTCATCGTTGGTTGACCGGATTCCGGTGAACCCGTTTGACGGCATCAACTAAGGTTGAGTCACGAAGTATCACTAGACGCTGTTTGTCTGTTTCCGCTTTTGCTACCACCGACTGTAGTTCTGATGCTACAAAGGACATACTGTCACGCATTGAACACGCTGCTTCAGAGTCTTATCAGCTCAGAGATCGTTGCTGTTTCAGGGGATATGAATGCACAAGTGGGTCATCTAAGCTCCTCAGAAGTTCAGCTAGATGATAAGTATGGGCTTAACTCCGAACGGAAGGACAACAGCGATCATCTGTTAGAGCTGTACGCGGAGCACCAACGGTTTCTTACAAGTACCGCTTTTAAACAGTAGGCGACGAAGTGCAACTTGGTGTCCTTCTGTAGTGGACTAGCGATGGACCCAAGTGGATCGCGTTGTCATAACTTACAGGTGGCGTGATTCCATCCAGGATTGCTGTTCCTACTGGAGCAATTGCTTCGACTCTGCTCTTGCCTTGGTGTGGTCTCGTTTTTTCCACGAACTTTACCGGGTGGCGTACCAAGTGTATCCTTCGACTGGCACCTGAGAAATTATCTCAGCCTTCGATCTAGCAAGCCTACCAAAGTGCCCTGCGTACCGAACTTTCGCTCTCTTGTCCTAATAACACTGATCTTCAATGGAATAGGATAGGGAAGCTTCCGCGTGCATGAATCACACCTACTTTGGATATTCTGACACCATTTTCCAGTGACTCAATCCATCCTTTCTTATCTTAACTATTTAAATATCATGTATTTGGCTTGATGGTGAATCACCGAAAAGGTGCTTGCTTACTACACCATCTTTTCATGACTGAATCGGGAATTATTCACCATGTGAATGGGATATCGGCCACTATTCACAGTGCGGGAACCTTTACTTGTGGTACTATCAATCGTCACTGCATCAGCCAGTGGACATCCAAGAGATCGATGAATCTGTTGGAATCCAGAAGACAACTCCCGGCTGCTTCTGAGTACAATGTGACCAGACACATTATTAGGCGCGAACTAAATCAGAGCACGTGCACTGATGCAGCTTGGTGGACCAGTCGGGCTGAAGAACTGAGGGAGGCGGGAGAAGTGGGTAATCACCGCAAGCTCTTCCAGCTGATCAGCATGAAACCATGCGTCAGTGAGACAATCAGAGACAGCGGTTTTCACTAATTCACCGTAACAAGCACCGTATGGCTTGTTGGGCGGGTCATTTTGAAGATCAGTTCTGCGGGACTTTGTTTCCGAACCTCTCCTTACTCAGCTGATGAAGGATGAACCATGATGGGTTAGTTTAGGGTGTTCATCAGAGGATCACGTCCGAAACGTGATCACAGCCCTCAATCATTTTCTTGCTGCTAACCTGGATTATCTCCCACTTGCAAAGCACTGACGTCCATGTTCGAACACGTTTGAAAGGAATAGACCAGCCCGGCTAACTGGAGTGAATCGATTGTAGCCGCAAGCTGCAAGAAGATCAGTCGCACCGACTGTGCTAACCGCAATGGTATTTGCCTAACGCCAGTGGTGATAAAAGTAGTGGCCTCAATTCTTGTTATTCGCCTAATTGCGGAACGGGAATCCCGGTGGAGGGAAGAACAGGCAAGTTTCCATTCAAGACGGAGCTGTATAGCCTACATTCTCACTTTTCGATAAGTGCTAGAGCAGCGCCCCACTTACGGCAGACCAAAATTGCTGTGTTCCTCGACTTCATTAGTGCGTTCGACTCCATCGATCGATACATTCTGTTCTAAATGCTTGCGCGGAAAGGTATTCTCATGCAGTATGTGAACATTTTATGTGCCGTATACTCAAACGCAACGGGCCGCGTCAGGGTCTACGGTGATTTATTGGATATCTTGCTGACAACAGGTGACGTTCGTCGGGGTTGCCTAATTTCCCATTTTCGCTTAACTTAGTTTTGGACTCCATTATGGAGTGTCCCCTTGCACAGCTTTACGATGCAGGCGTTGAGGTCTTCCTTGGTGAAAGGCTACTTGGTTTTGATTGTGTGGAAAATATTGTCTTGCTGTTTAGTTATGTTGGAGTTGCCTAATCAATTCTGAATAACCTTTTTCAAGGTTGGCCCCATCATTTGGTATGCGCTTTGCACAAGCGCAATGTGTTGTTTCAGGCCCACCATCCATTTGATTGTTGCTTGGCCCTTGATAACAGGAACTCGAGGTAGTTGATCAATTCATTTACCTTGACAAATGCATCAGAGACGATAGGCGCAAAGCAGCTGAAGTCTCTTCACTTATTGCAAAAGCCAGAACTGTTTTTTTCCAATCTGTGACATGTTTGACGACAGAAAGGGGTTTCTCGGTCTGAAATACCGTGTTTACAAGGCCATAGTGAAGGCCATCCTTATCTCTAGTGGTGTGGCTTGACCCCTACGGTCTGAAGATCTGAGGCACCTTCAAGTCTTTAATCATCGCTGTCTACGGAGCATTACTGGCGTTTGGTGGCACCAGTGTGTCCGCAACGATGATGTGCGTAGGCAGACAGTGCTAGACAGTGATAAGCAAACTAGTTCCTTATAATAATAGATAGCATTGCATAAGTTGCGTTGGCCTGGGCAAGTTCTACGTATGGCCGGTCACCGCTTACATATGAGGGCCTTGCATAGTCTGCCAGGTGTAGGGTGGTGCGAGACTCGAGGTGGACAAAAGTTGACTTGGTGGTTGGACATGAAGTCACTGACCAAACTGGGTGCCGTTGGTCCTTCTTGCTGTCCGGGCTGGAGTCCACGTGACCCACCTTGTGCTTGGCTCGAAATGTTACATGATATGGCTCGCAGTCGACAACAATGGCGCGTCTGCTGCCGTCTCTCCTAGTCGGGCTGTCTGTTTAAAGTGTATTTGGTGCTGAGTTATCTGCTGGGTAATGGCTGATTGTGACACGGGGCGTTGAAAGCCGCAAGGAAGCTGTCTCGCCGATGCTGCCTGGTCTTTGCACGATAGCCATCTGTTTGTGACGCTATGCTATTGACAACGTGTAAGCGCCTTGACCCTGAATATTTGCTTAGGGCATTAAGGTTTTTCTGTAAGTCCCCCTTCTCTCCCTCTTCGTTCCGTTGGTACTCATGGTTGTATGACAGCGAAGCATTAGTTCAAATGGTCGATGTACAGCTATTAATGATGATGATGATGATGACCAATTCTTACTCTAGCTGGCTAATTGATCCATTGTTATATATTGTGTTGCTATAAGTCAAGGTTGCTACACCACCGGCTGAGTGCTGCCGTTGGTTTCTACACGCGGGTGCACTCCTTTCCCCTCACACCGATTTGGATCAGTGCGGAGCTGATGTATCATGCGCACTGTGGTTGTGCTTTATTTGCTATTTGTCGATGATTGACTTTGATGGTTTTGATGTTTCTTTCTAGTTTCAACACTACTGCCGAACATGTCCTACTCCCGTTCTTTCCAAAGGTTGGATGAGTTTTTTCCGCGATGATATTCTGGAACGTCTTGTTTAAACTCTTGCTGTTCCGATATCTGGTCCGCCAATACACATCGTTTGCTTTCCTCTCTATCACTGAAAATGGTTTTGCACCGTCTGCAATAGCACCCTGCCAACAAATCTTCCCACTGCTGTTCCGATCACCTTTTGCCGGTCGGTAGCGTAGTGGACCACAAGCCTGCCTTGTTATCCGAGGGCGTTGGTTCGAGCCTGCGTAGGAGACCGGACGACTTGCAGTATCCTCAGCCCATGTATGACTGTTGGTTGGTGCGCGGCTGCGAAGCGTCGGCACTGCACAACTGCGTACTGCTGATACCTACTACTGGCCACTTTTACATCCGCTCTTCTCGAATTTCCAGTGCAGAGCTTTAGCCATTCGACAGCGTCGCGACTTTAAAAAATGTCGAATCAGGAAGCTATTTTTCATTCTATCATCCGCGCACTTTGTTGTTATTTGTGAATTCGTGCCGTCGTTGATCCTCGTGGCTTATGTTGCTTACACTCTCATGTTTTTGTTCTCATATTTAAGGTTGGAGATGGTGCTCTATATGAAAATGTCCATGTGCATAGTTTCTTTCCGATATTTTCTGCACTTTGTCTACTTAGCATTTCCATCTCTGCATTTTATCTTACCCTCAGTCACATCCAATGAATCAATGCCGATTTAATAAGGACCACTGGATCCCTGTGGAGCGTACTGAAGATCATGAGAAGTACTGCTCTTTGCGGAGCCTGGGTTACACAAAAGATGAGATCGTATGTTCTTGTCCTTTGAGTGTAGTAATAACGACGTCCATCGTTAGGTTGTCACGTTTTTGTTTTTTAATTTTTTGGCACTCCGGTCCACCTTGTTTCAAAACCGCATTCTTAAGCTCACTTTATTGTCGGCACAATCAGTTTATGGGTGCGGGAGCACCACCTTGAGTCATTCATGGTTTCAACTCACGAATGCTGATAGATCACTCTGGGATACGATTACTCGTCAGTATTCCTTTGCCTATATCAATGACCTTGCCAACTCCCACCTGCGGTTGGCCGTGGTCGCAGATGGCGGCATCCAGTTTCGGATTTGTCTGTCACTGTGACTAGCCACAGGACGCCTGCGCCTACAGTGGGACCATAGATAGCTTGCAATGCACCACCCACAGTTCCACCCACACACCCCATATTCGGTGTAAACCCGAAGAAATAAGACCGGGAGGCATGTGGATGGGAGCCACGTTTCATCAACGGAGCTGGCTCACACTCCTTCACAGGCAACCACAAGCACGCTGTATTTGGGAATCAAGCGCACACAAAGCGGTGGCTGGACCGTGGTCCGGTCCACACTGAGTGTATGGAAACACTGTTCGAGCCTATCACGACCACATCGACCGTTCATCTCGTCCCGTCCAGCAACGACCAACTGTCTCCTGGAGCCAATATAGACGAGGTAGGGCGTAACAGACAGGTAGGCACCTTGTCAACATGGGCATCAGGCACACCGGTTATATCACGCAACAGCCAATCACTTGAAACGACAAGATGAAATAAACTAAATCGGATAATACATACAGATACGGTGGCATAACTCTTCAATAAATGGGCGTATAAAATAAATTGATTACGAACGAATCCGCGATAAGTTCAAGAGGTCATAAAACATATTTTATGGAAATGCCATAAACACGAAAATGTTATCGAAATTATGTACAATTAGCTTCAACGACGTGTGCAAGTTTATAGAAGATAGTTCAGGTAGACATCAATATGAAAAAGAAAAGCATTAGGACAAAATTGCAAACCCACCACCAGAAATAAAGGGACTTAGCACGGAAGCAGGCGGTTAGTAAATCGAATGCAACGTACCTACGAACGCTGAGCCGCTTCTGCCTATGCTCGCTGCAGGACGCGTCGTCGCTTCGGTGGTGGTCCCAAGTGGCCTGGCTCATGGCTCACTAGGCCTGCCTGACTCATGCACTCGCGACCACATGTGCTACAGCACCATGCGCTCGATGTCGATGGAGTACAACCCATTCGGCAACTGCCTTCCTGATTAGATCGCGCCATGCACGCCGATCAACCGCCTTCCATCCGTAACATACTACGGTCTTAAAACACAAATGAATTGTTCTAACCCTTCAAAAGCTGTGTGTAACAGGCCTAGATCAGATCCCAATGGGTTTCTGCAATCACGTTCTCTATTTGGACTTGCTCCCCACTGCCTTTTGGGTTAGGTTATTGAACCATAGTCATGGGTGAATTCCCTTAAGCGACCTCCCATGTCCCCCACTGCATTGTGAATCACACTGTTAAGTCAAAAACTAGAGGTAAGGCACCTCGAACAAAATCCCTCCATCGGAATGAGCAGCCGAAAACCATCATCTGCCTTCTCGATCTAATCGACATTACTCCCTCTTCTTCTTGTTTTTCCTCTCCATCCTTTCGTTCGCCGGAGGCGAATCCGATGATCCGCTGTTTGACAGACCAGTTTGCATAGTTCATTACTCTAGGTACAGCAGATTTTTAGTGTTTCTCGTCAAATTCAATTTCTTTTGCGATTGTCTATTGGTGTTGTGTCCACATATTTTACTGTGGTATTTATATGGTGTACTTATCTTTCATTTTATCACCTTTGCTGTCACATCTGCTAGGCTATCCGTAATGAGGAAGTGGAATTCCTGGGGCACTTGTTGCGAAACAGTTGGGCATAGAGCCAATGCTGCCACATGACTTATGTGTGGTGCGAATTTCCACATTTAGATTGTTTCAAACTACTACGTGAAATTCACCTTGACTTTGTCCAACTATTTTGCAAGAAATGCTAAGCCACTGTGCAGCCACTGTGCAGCCGAGAAGCCGCGCTAGCCTGAAAGATAAGTGAAACGTTCTATAGCGAGGAGCTTTCTGGGTTCATCCATACAAGCTGGAACCGAGCCACCTATATGTTCGGACGTGTCCACCTGACCACCGGTTGCGGGATCTTTAGAGCGATATCCACCCGTTGCAATAGCCTCAGCTGGTGTGCCTGTGCAGTCACAGCCAGCCGAGAAGGCGCGCGAGCCTACAAAACGGTCAAAACGTTCCATAGAGAGGAGCTCTATGAATTTATCCAAGCAAACGGAAACTCAGCCCCCTCTATGTCCGAACGAGCTCACCTGTCAACTGGCTGCAGGCTCTTCAGAACAATGTCCACCCGTTGCTGGAAACTCAGCTGGCGTGCCTGTGTTGAGTCCTACGGACACTAACATACCGGTGTGCGATAGCGCAGGCGATGAAGGCCAATGGAGGATGTATCGATGCAAAGAGGAGAGCACAACTGCCAGCAGTCAGCGGTGTTGTAACCCTATGATATTTCACGCGCCTGAGTCGACGAATGCTAGTCCTCAGACTCGTTATGACCACGACATGGATTTTCTACGGTATCTGGTTGATAGGCTTCTCGACGTGAATGAACAGAGGTTGCGGGTGAAGCAAATCACCTGTCTTGCAAAGAGAGTGGAGTGAAAGTCCCGGCCTCTGCGAGTCACGTTTGTTGATGAAATGATTCCGAGGGTGGTGCTATCACGCCTTTCTAGGCTGAGGTCTAAGGATCTACATTCGTCCCGATTTTGGTCCGTCGGACAGAGAGAAACTGAAGTCATCTATCATGGAGATGAAGCGGCTGACTGATAGTGGAGAAACCAATCTCCACCTCATTGGGATTGGGATTGTTTCCCGGGTCCGCCGAACCCGGATCAATAGGTCAATGACGCTTCGTGCTCGTCCGGTTTCTTCCGCAGCCTGCGCATAGCCTTCGCAAATGTTCGCAGTTTAGTGAACAAACGTGACGATGTATATCACTTCGTTGCCTCTCGTTATCCGGACGTACTAGGACTGGCGGAAACGTGGTTACATCCTGAGGTCACTACCTAAGAGCTCCAGATCAGTGGCTACTCAGACTTCCGGTGGGGCAGACTATCGAACGATAGAGGCGGCGTGCTGTTATACATTCGGTCCTCGTTGTGCTGAAGACTGGTACGCACCTACCGTAGCGAAGATGGCCTGTGCGAACAGTTATGGTGCTCGATCCGCCTGAGACAGGGTGAACTATTTGTGGGCACGGCTTATCGCAGCCCGCGAAGTCGTTGCCTGGATTGGTTGCCGCATGTCGGAAACTACATAAGTCGGACCCGCTCCCTACTTATGGGTGATTTTAACTTTCCTCGAATACGCTGGTCTGAGGTTCAATTCTTCCCCGGGCACTGTGAAATCGTGCCACAGTTTGCGGAGATGGTTTTTGAAACTGGGGCTGGACAACGTGTCTGCCAACCGACGCGCGTTACAACCCATACCGCTCCATCGTGTCTGGACCTACTACTAACGAGTTGCTAGCAATGTATATATGCAATTCAGGTCCCGGAGCTTCTTGCAGCTAGTGACCACTCGATGGCGTTAGCCAGCCTAGAGCTGCCGTTGCCCTACTCGCATCTGCCGTAGCCGTCCTACAATTATTGGATGACCAATTTCAATGGTCTAAATCGAGCTGCCAGTGAAGTGGACTGGTTGCTGCCGCAGGATTCGTCTGTTGAAGCCTGTTGGTCTGTTATGAAAGTGGGTGTGCACTCGTTAGTCGTAAGTTTCCTACCCCTCAGGTATCGGAAAGCTGGACCAGTGAAACCACGTTGGTTCGACTGAGGTGATGGTCAATTAACTCGACGGCGACACGTATTGCAGAATAAATTTCTCGCGTCTGGCTCTGCCCACGATCTTGTGGTTTACAAATGACAGCGAAATCTACACAACAGCACGAAAGCGTCGGCAGTTCAAAGAGGAGCTTACAACCTCGGCGAAGACAGCCCCCAAGAAGATTTTTGCTTACTTGAAGCGGTGCGTGAGGCCCGCAAGTGACGTAGTTGTGTCAGATGGCACTGACGGACAGCTTCTGACCTCCAGCACTGAACGTGCTTCTGCATTGGCGGTGCACTTTGCTTCCGTATTTAGAAGCGTACTTGCGCTTATGCCAGCTCGACGTGTGCAGCCCCTACTGAACTCGGAGGCCTGGGTTGCAGTGTAGAAGATGCCGCAGTCTACTCGCCAGTCTTGACGGCACGAAATCTGCCGGGCCCGGTGGACTTGCTCTGCTAATTTTGAAGTCCTTATCAGCCATCATCTCGCCTGCCGTGACGGATCTGTTCGACAGATCGCTGTCTGAGGGTTCATTGCCGAGCGACTGGAGATGATCGGTAGTAAAGCCGATTCCAAAAGGCAGTGACCCACGCACTGTGGACAATTGCCGGCCGATTTGTCTCACCTGTTTTGGCGAAGGTGTTCGAGAAGATTGTAACAAAGGGTCTTCTCCCACTACTGGCGTCGAATGATCTCCTAACGCCGGCGCAGCACGGCTTCATGAAGAGCCGCTCCTGCATCACCAACATCCTGTAGTTGCGGCAGGAATGGTTACAAGCCTTGAATCAGGAGAGGTCAGTGGATATTAGCTACATTGATTTTAGTAAATCTTCTGATAAAGTACACCATGAGGTCCTGCTCCACAACCTGAGGATGTGTGGTGTTGGTAGCGCACTGCACCAGTTGATCTGTGACTTTCTTATTGGGAAAACATGGTGGGCACATGTGGATGATATGATGCTTTCATTGAGTTCGTGGGTGCGTAAAAATGAAGTTGGCTCATTTGATTCCTTAGTTTTGTAACGTATGTGAAGGCGTCAGTGTTACTGTTGTCTCTTGGGGTATAAAATTGATCAGGAATGCGTACTGTGGTTCCGGAAACCATCTCT